TGTTTAAAGTCAACACCAACACATTTCGAAGAAAAAAGCAGAAGCACTGGGAATAATCCCCAGGAGAAAGAAAAATAAGGCCTAGACAAAGAGAATACCCCAGGTAATGAGCTCAAAAGTTAAAGTTCACAACAGCCTTTCAGCCTGGTAATCTGGTAAGAGGTACTAATAGCTTTAGGCATAAGCCCTGACCCACTTCCACTTCATGGAATGTATCCTAAGTAAATAATTAAAGATAAAAGAAAAAATTTAGCCATGAGGATGTCCTACATAATAGCCAAAAGGAAAAAAAACAAGATATAAACTAAGCTAGTAAATTAGTACCACACAATGACTGGTCTACAGCCAGTAAAAACGATCACAGCCACTACAGCTATGGAGGTATATTTACTGGCATGGAAAGGTATCTTCAATTACATTGTTAAGCAAAATGAGCAAACAACAAAACAGAATATACAGTATAATACCATTTTTTCCGCTCTCTAATTTTCTATATTGATAGCTGTAACTCTGTATTTCATGCTTAGAATAGAAGTGATTATTCCTGGCTGGTGGTATCATGGGTGATTCAGTCTTTGTACTTTTCCTCCAATATCCAGTTTTTTATCGTTATTACTAGAGTACCAGTACAAAAGAAAAACAAGCTTTTTTAAAACAAAAAGTCATGCACCAGAAAAAAAGCCTGGGCTACATAACCAAGGATGAATGCAAAGACTGGAATAGTCCTATAAGGATGGCTAAAGATAAGAATAAGCTAAATATTTTAAAAGACATTAAAGTGTTTAATATTGATTTTTTTAAAGAGGTCATATCTAAACAAGAGTAAGTAAAAGCCTACTTGTTGAGGAACAACAGTATCATGCTAATAGATGAAAAAAGAAGACAACACAACAATCTTCCCTTAGCATCTATTGTCCAGCTGGACAAGGGGTCTTCAAATAGGAAAAGTCACAGGAATTAGCCCCACAAGGAATCGAAGTGGTGGTGGGAAAGCACCCAACCACTCTGGATGCGTCTGAGTCTCCGGGACCCAGAGGAATAATTGCCCAGAGTGTGGAAATGTCAAGAACATTACTACAAAATTGGGGCCAGCAATATGTGAGAAATCAGAGACCACGTGAACAGGGAGAAAACTGGAAAAAGCACCAACATCTGTTGTATTTGAGGAGTCAGATATAAAATCAAAATCTGGCTGCCTCTTCCTAGCTCTGCAACTATGTAGGCATTTTACTAACCTTTCTGAGCTTCAACTTACTGATTTCTAAAATGAAAATAATAATATAGAACTCCCTGAGTGTTGGTGAGGAGTCAATGAAATAACGTGTATAAAATGCCTAATTAGGTGTCATGCACCTAGGAGGCAGTCAGTCAATAAATAGCAGCTAGAGACATTTTCTTTTTTTTGAGGAAGATTAGCCCTCAGCTAACTGCTGCCAATCCTCCTCTTTTTGCTGAGGAAGACTGGCCCTGAGCTAACATCTGTGCCCATCTTCCTCTACTTTATATGTGGGACGCCTACCACAGCATGGCTTGCCAAGTGGTGCTATGTCCATACTCAGGATCCAAACCAGCGAACCCTAGGCCGCCAAAGCACAACGTGCGAACCTAACCGCTGCGCCACCAGGTCGGCCCCCAAATACATATTTTATTAGAGGCTGGGTCTAGAAACCAGGCACCTGTATGTTTGGCCATATTTTAATCCTCAATTTACCATTCATAATTTAAATTTGAGATTCTAGATTGGTCAATAAGGAGCAAGTTACAAACACTGATGAGGCATCTGAAGGGCTGTACTGGGAAAAGGCTAGAAGGAGAAGACAACTCCCTTCAGGGCCTGAGACTGGTGAAGAGCCACAACCCCTGGCCATCTAGGAAGGATTTCATTACCTTTACTAAAGGAAGGATTTTCCTTGGGGACAGTGACAACAAATAACAAACAGCAAGCTGCTCCACTTCTTACACTGATTCACAAGAATAAGCCAGGAACACGCAGTGCAGCCCTGGAGTCTCTTGCAAGCTTCTGGGACTCTTATTTCCAGGCTGCAAGGAAGCACTCGCAAAAGGGAGGGGCAGGAGGGATGGAGGTTAACAGCAATGCAGATCAGTTAAGAAACCTAAGAAGACAGAATCCGGAAGTGAGAAGTATTTTCAGTAGATAGGGAAAGAAGAAAACAAAGCCCAAAGGCCAGGTCTGGCCTTTCATAAAAATTCTTTATCATTCCTGCTACAGATGTACTGACAGACAATTGAGGAGTAAGTTCACACATAAAAAGAGAAAAAAACTATGCAATTTGAACTATTATCAAAGACACTTGCAAATATTTTTCTGCTTTTGTTTTTCTTGATATTATTTTCTCATTAGCTGCAAACACCGTTTTCTCTAGAAGCTCACAGCATAGTGGTTACAAGAGTTTGCGTGCAGTCTCCACCATCACCAATGTGACCTTGGACAACATACATAGGCTATCTGTGCTTTAGGCTCCTCATCTGTAAAAAAAAAATACTCCTTTTTCCTAGGGTTGCTGTGAGGCTAGATGAGATATATATAAATGCTTAGAACAACGTCTGGGCACCAGATTTTTGTCTTTGTCTCCTTAAATTCTACACAGTTACATTACCAAGCAGAAGATTTTCTTAAAAACTCCACTACAAATGACAAGAAGAAATAATGTGTCTCTAGAGGCCTGAAATGTCTGATGGGTACAGAGAGGCCAGTCCCAGTTCCACTGATAGGATGACCGACAGCTATGCTGGCCTTCTATTCTCGCTGATAAGGCTGAAAACCGTAATGTTTTCCCACTCACCATGCACGGCTCAGAGTGAGATTTACACAGGAAGATATTCAACTAAGCATTCATTAAAAAAGTTTACTTTTATTTTCTGTTTTTGAATAGGTGATACACAGACTTGGTATAAAATTCAAATACTCGAGGTTTATAGGGAAAAGAGAATTTCCCTTCCTCTCCCGCCCCAGCTCCCAATTCCCTGTATCAGAGCTAATGCTGTCATCTGATTCTCGTATCTTTCCAGAAATGAAGCATCATTTAAAAGAAGAGAAAGCAACAGCATATCCAACCAAGTGGTTATTATTTCTAATGACAAACGCTGTCAGGAGGAGTCTTTAATAGCATACAAAAGACTCTATACTGGGGGGCCGGCCCGGTGGCACAGCAGTTAAGTTTGCATGTTCCACTTCGGTGGCCTGGGGTTTGCTGGTTCGGATCCCGGTTGAGGACACGGCACCTCTTGGCAAGCCATGCTGTGGTAGGTGTCCTACATATAAAGGAGAGGAAGATGGGCACGGATGTTAGCTCAGGGCCAGTCTTCCTCAGCAAAAAGAGGAGGATTGACAGCAGATGTTAGCTCAGGCCTAAGCTTCCTCAAAAGAAAAAAACAAAAACAAAAAACTCCATATTGGTAAGTGAAAAAAACTACAAAATTATATTTAAAGCATAATTCTATAAAAATGCACATTAAAAATATGAAAGAAACATGTCCAACCATCAGAAGTGGCTGCTTCAGTCTTGTGAAATTAAGGTTGAGTTTCTTCCCTTGTAGCTCTCAACCTTTTCTAAAAAGAACACTTTAAGGATATTCTAAACTGAACACCTATTTCATAACCAGGAAAAAAAATTACTCTGCTGTCATAGCATGTCCTCTTCTTTTTGTTACTTAATACTGCCACCAAACTTAAAATTGTATCTGGCTTCAGAGCCTAACTATCTTAAAGGTTTTCCACTCTTCCTATTTCCAAAATGGAACAGGGGAAAAAATACGTATGACAACTATAAAGCTTCAAAGACTTTTTTTTTTTTTTTTTTATTAATGTTATGATAGATTACAAGCTTGTGAGATTTCAGTTGTACATTTTTGTTAGTCATGTTGTGGGTACACCACTTCCCCCTTCGTACCCTCCCCCCCCCCCCCCTTTTCCCTGGTAACCACCGATCAGATCTCCTTCTCAATATACTAATTTCCACCTATGAGTGGAGTCATATAGAGATCGTCTTTCTCTGACTGACTTATTTCGCTTAACATAATGTTCATCGCAGCATTATTTACAATAGCCAAGACGTGGAAACAGCCTACATGCCCAGAAACTGATGACTGGATAAAGAAGATGTGGTATATATACACAATGGAATACTACTCAGCCATAAAAAAAGACGAAATTGGCCCATTCACAACAACGTGGATGGACCTCGAGGGCATTATGTTAAGCATTATGTTAAGACTTTTTTGTTTTAAACAAGCACTTTATGTCTTTTATCATCAAACGACTGTTACTCTTTTCACAATAATCACTTTGGGAGACCACACACTTATTCTTAAAGTGAAAAACAGGCAAAATGGCATGATGTATTATTTTCGGAAGAAAGAGAATTTGCACTTTGGCACTGAGGCTCCACTCCCATCAGTTCAGGTAGGAAGGCTGGGGGGTGAGTGGGGGCGGGCTGACTGGGTTCTGCTGGGCTCTGGCCCAGAGTGTTCTGAAAAGGCCCGAAGCTCCTCTACCCCTTGTGCTAGAGAAGTGGGCACACACATACAGATTCCCAGAGGTTACAACAGGCTGCGCATGGTGACAGAGGTCATCCCAGAACATTCCACAGAAGCTACTCTTTCTCCAAAGCCACCATGGGGGCAGCAACGTCAATCTACCCTCTCCAGGTCAGCATCTCCTCTTTGGAGCTACTCAAAGTTTATACCTGCACTGGGACAAACAAGGAAGGGCTATGAGTTTGGAATGTTTCTCCCTTCAAACCGAAACTAAGAAAAACACTGTGCAGTGGTCGTGGCAAGTTCTCCCCATGAACGCTGGGTCCAGACAGCGGGCACAGAAGGCAGGGCTTCCCTCACACTCCAACCTGACGCCAGCTCCTGGGCAGCCCCAGCAGACGGAGCCTCAGGGAGCAGGGCATTTGTGACTAAACCAAAGGGTTGTCTGGAGGCTGTGAACCTACGTTCTTCTCTTACACAGGGACTCGGACAGGGGAACTTACTGAGAGGTCAACAACAGTCTTGACGGCCTTTTCTTTTCTCTTGAGGAAGTCATCATCCTGTAAGAGAAAACAAGGAATAAACAAATCTTGTGCGAAGACTGAAACGCACTGGACTGCTCAGACGTCTGCCTATAAACCGACTTCCCGTCACTACCTCACCTGAACAAGTCTCAGTTTTCTAACAAACTGGAATACATTCTGCACGAGAAAAAGCTACTGCCTCTGCAGCTGGCTCCAAAACAGAGCTCTATAGTCAGAGAGAAAAACAGGGACCACTGAGTGCAGTGATGACGACAAGTATTCTCATTAGAAATCCTTACAAGCTCGGAAGCCTCAGGCAAGTTACCTAGCCTCTGAGCCTCAGTCTCTCCATCTGTAAAACAGGGACAGAAACACCTATCTCAGGGGGCCATCATGAGGATTAAAGAGTAGAAGGCAGGTGATGTGCTGGGGCTAGAATGTAGTAAGCATTTCATAGTGTCCAGCTATTGTTGTTGTTGTGATTACCTTTCAACTGTTACTCTAAGAATGTTCTAGGCAAGTTGTCTCTTGAGAAGCTTTATATGACTATAGAGAAATATACTCATGTTCCTATAATTTAATAAAAGTTCTGGATCAAGTACCAAAACTGACAGAAAAGGACAAAACCATAGGGCTTTCCACTCAGTGCCCATTTAAAGAGGCAGTTCTAGTGACCCAGGAGGTCCAGTCTCAGTGCTGCCCAGGCAGAGGCAGACATGCCACACGGGGGTGGGAGTGCAGGGCAGCCTGCGCTCACTCCGCTCCTTCTAAGTGTGCACCCATGCTCTCAGCTGGACAAGAGAAGAAAATGAGAACACTGACCTCAGGGAGACTGTAGGTCTTCTGGAACTGGGACACAGAGTAGGAGCGGATGTAGTCACCCATCTCTTCTTTTGTTTCTATAGCTCGCTTCACCAGTCACTACAGAAGAAAGTTAGGAAACGTGAGCCGATGGGGTGAAACACCACTGCGGTGAAGGCCAACTCAGAGATGGCACCACTCGTGAACCCAAATCACTGTCCTTGAACTGACCAAGTAACGACAAGCTATCAACACACACTGTCCTATAGGAAAAGCAACTGGCTTAGCGTCTGAGATGCTAAGATCCAGTGGGACCTAGAGCTGAGCAGCTGTGCAGGAGGAGCCTCACTTCAGAGCCTCAGGCCTCAGTTTCCCTCTCCATGTAAAGTGAAACTAAGAATGTCAGTTCCTTTCACCTCACAGAGCTACTGTGGGAGCAAATGAAACCACATGTACTAGAGTGCTTTGTAAATACCCGAAACATAACACAAATGCAGCTATCCCCACAACCACCTGGTTCTAGCGATCGATCTCAATGTCATTCTTTTTCCTGCTTCTTGCACCACAGACCAGAGAAAGGGGAAGAACCAGAGAGAACCCCTAGCATAACCCTCAACTGAGAGATGAAAAAACATCCCCAACATATTCAGATGTGAGAACAGGGTGTACTGAGTACACAGCCTTGGGCTTCGGGTTAGCTTGGCACTCACAACATTCTCTCTCTCAATCCGCACAATGCTACAAGGTGGCTGGTACTGGCCGCGATGACAGAACCTGAAGCTCAGAGAGACTACGTAATTTGCCCATTGATCCACAGCTAGCAAACCACAAAGCTGGGCGTCACAACTCACAGGCTCTTCCACACCAGAAGGCTGGACATATGGGCTTCATTAAATGTTTCCCAGCTCTTTTGGGATGATATGCAAAAGGAGGAGTTTCTCCCTACCTTAAACTCCAGTTAATTAAAACACACACACACACACACCCACACCCCATAACCTGTGGAAGATTCCGGTGCTCTGAGGGTAAGAATGCAAAGTCAAATAAGAGCCTTTGTTGTCCTCCCCTGGCTCTTCATTCAATTCCTGTACTACTGAAGAACATTATGGAGGGGGTGCCATCTGTCAGGCTTGCCATTCTCTCTCCAGAGAGAGCCACTACATGTCAAAAGCAGTTTTTGGACAGTAGTTGTGTTTCCCCAAGAGCACAGCCACACGTGGCAAGGTTTAGCTGCCTAGGAAAGTAGACACGTGGCATGCTGCATGGTGATCCCACAGGGACAGGAAGAAATGCTTGATCACGGAGGGCAGCCAGCTCCAGGAAAGGACACGTTTAGGAAGTGGCTGCCCAGGATAGGGGCGGCTGCAAATATCTATATAAGGAACATTCTTTTGTTGTCAGCATCTTCCATTTATTTCCATCACTCCACTCCACCCCACCTCCAAACAACCACCTCAGGCACGGACAAAGCCAGAAGCAGGGGCAGAGGATGAGACCACACTCAGAACTACGGTAGCTCCTAACTCGCACCCCGACCCCAGCACCACAGCCCCAGACAACTAAGGAGGCGGACACTTGCTCAAGTCAATTTGTCTCTGCTTTGCTTTGGATCCAGAGATCCAGTTTCTGGCCTTTCATATTTGTTTCCTTTTCCCTTAATCAGATCTACCCAGAATTATCACTTGGTGGGATGCTGGAGAGTGTGATCAGATAAGGAAGGCAAAGCATGTTGAGTCATAGGATTCCCACAGACAATCCAATACTGTTTTGGAGTTCCCAGCATGAAGGGCTGTGGAGGGAACCTCTTGGACAGCCAAGCTCTGCCACAGCTCCCTGGCATTCGAGAAAAATAGCTACCCTCACAGGATACACATCCCACCTGGGAGAAAAAGATGTGACCTAGAATACCAATGGCTGGAAGTTAGACCCGTTTTTCTCCCGGCTGGCATTCGGAGTGTGTTACTATAGCTTTGTAAACGGTGTGAACATGGGGATGAGTCTCGAGCCCGGCACAAGACGACGAGTTCAATGGTTCCCAACTGCTGGTCCGTGACTATCCTTTCACTGGTCTCCAGCAAAACATGAAAAAACTAGAGGCATGTGGTAAGCTTTTCAGGATGCTAAAGGTATTCAATTTGAAGGACTGTCCTTTATTTTAAGATTGGAAGTTAAATGGCTTTTTAGGAAATGATAGAGAAACTAAGAGCAGTTACTTTTAAAAAGGCCCTTGCCTGGCAAAATAAAGATGACAACCGTAGGTCAACCTCCATTTTTGCTTTAAAATTTTACTGGTCCATGAAATTAAGAAATCTGGTAACCAGCAGCCTAGGCTCTCACATCCAGACAGGAAGCCCCCCAGCATTCAACTCACAACACGGAACATTCACAGACACTCCAAATGCCCAAACCAAATGCAGAAGATCACTTCCTTTTCACCCTCTCCTCATATCTAGACTAGATTCTTTGCCCTCAGAGTTCTAGCACGGGGCTGAGGAAGGTCTAATCACTAGAGATCCAGGCTTTGCGGGAAAAGGCAACAACTTCACAGAATGACAGTGTTGGAGGTTTTAGTAATAACACAGGGGCCCTACCTCCTAGTTTCAAAAAAGGATCAGGTACCGTCCCTCTGCACCAGACAAAAAGTCTAACAAAGATACAAATCAAATTCTGAGTTAAAGTCTTGAAATATTTTGCTGTGTACACAAACAACTTCTGGGATTCTTTGTTCCTTCGGTTTGTCGTTTTCTAGAGCTCATCCCATACCGTAGTAGGAGAATCATTGGCGCAGGAGTCTGGAGCCCAGAAGTTTAGTACTGGCTCAGTTACTGATAAGGAAGAAGGATGAGATTAACATTATTGAGGGCCTGTGCCGAGTTGACCTCTTTTGGCCTTTGGCTCTTTGTCTGTAAAGTCAAGAGTTTAGGCTAGCATGAGTTGCTCCTAACCAGAGATGTCCAGGAGTTACTTGAGTGGTTTGGTTTGAGATTTTTGTTTGTTAAAATGTTGAAGCCCAACCCCAGACGTGCTCAATCAGAATGGCAAAGGCTCTGGCAGTGGTTCTCAGCCAGGGCAGTTTTGCCTCCCAGGTGGGGTGACCAGCTCATCCCAGTTTACCCAGGACTTGACCAGTTTTAACATTGAAGGTCCTGCATCCCATAAATCCCACCTCTGTCCCAGGTGGCCTGTGAGGATTGGCCGCATATTTTGGTTGTCAGAACTGGGGGCAGGCTACTGGCATTTAGTGGGTGGAGGTCAGGGATGCTGCAGAACATCCCATAATGCGAAGGACAGCCTCTCACAACAGAGAATTATCCAGCCCACGATGTCCATAGTGCCCAGGTTGGCAAGACCTGGGTTATAGCCAGGGTGTGTGTGGGCTGGGGAGCTCACGGGTCATTCTGCTGCCTTCACCTGCTGCAGGTCCACAGCACGCTCGCTGTGTGGGTTCACTCCAACACTCTGTGTCTCTACCTGACTCTCCTCAGTAGTCTCTTTAGAGTTAAATTAACAACTCTTTCAACCGACTTCAAATTCAGTTGTTATTATACTAAATGTTTTCACTTTTTATTTCAGATTTCTTAAACATTTCGTTTTTCTCTGAACTCTCTCCCAACCCCACCAGCCTTGCCATTTTCATTTCATACAAGTTCCTTCATTGTACGTCCTCTCCGCCCCTTCTTATTCTGTCACAGTTTAGGCTCTGGGCTATAAGGTACACCGCCGTCAGCGGTGGAGAAACTTCAGAAGTGCAGGGTTGTCGTCTTTATATATAGAAATGGTTGGGGATTTGGCTTTTCTGACTGGAGGAAGCTCTTCTAAGCTTGACTCCAACCCAGTGGTGACTTTAGCCAGCAAAACTAACTTAGGCAATTATAGCAGGATGCTGTGAGTGCATTTTAGCTGACCTGAGAATAGCTCTGGCCTTCTCTTTCCCATCTGCTCCCTTTCCATCAATTCTAAGTGAAAATTATCTCATGATGATAATGAAGAATATTGTATAATGTAGAACAGTGGTCCTCAAAGTGTGGTCCCTGGAATGGACCAAAGGCATCCTGGGAACGTGTTAGAAATGCAAATTTTCAGGCCCCACCCCGAACCCAGTGAATCAGCAACTCTGGTATTAAGCCTGAGAATTTGCATTTCTAACAAGAGCCTGTTTCCTCACATCCTTGTTCACAAAAGTGTTAAAACAATTTTGACTTTTGACAATGATACAGAATGGATGGTATTTGAGTATAAACGGAAATAAAATTACTGAGATAAGCAATCTGGGTTCAGGAAGCCCTCTGGTGATTCTGACCGGCTCTCAAGTTTGAGGATCACTGTTACAGAAGAAAGAGAACCACACTGGAACCTCTAACTCATTGGAGATTTTCCCACCGCCTTCACTGCCCTGACCACCAATGGTTGCTTGTGTTGCTTCAACTCCCTGCTACTTTCCTGTAATAAAGTATCCAACAAAGGGGAACGCCTAAGGAGCTGCTGTGTTCTACGCAAGCCCAGCCTGATGCTATATATTTTCTGTACAACTCTGTGAAAAAAGTACCAATAGCAGCCTTTTCCTATTACAGAAGTTGAAGCTGAGCAGGTGACCAGGTGACCAAGGTCACACAGAGAAAGGAGGATTTGAATCCAGTTTGCCCCGATTCCAAACTCCATGCACTTAAAAGAAAAATCAACACTTTTTTTTCCTGTAACTCATTTTCATTTTAAAACTTAGTTTCACTATTCAATATGAGAGAATTTTAAAATAAAATAAATAATTTTAAAATCACCTATAAGTCCATCACTTAGAGACAATCCTTACCAATATTTTTGGATTTATCCTTCCAGACATTTTTTTACATATACATACATTATAAAATACATAGATTTTATAAAACCAGGCTGCTGTGTATACTATTCTTTAATTTATTTCTCTTAGCAGTATATCCTGGTCAATAAATCTAGTGGCTGCATATTATTTTATTGTTAGGGTGTGCCAAACTTGATACATTGTTGAATGAATTTTTAAATTTATTATTAATATTTTATTTCTTATATTTTTATTTTTATAGTATTTATTAAAAATTTTTTATCTGTTGCTGTTCTTAATGTTTCTTAATTTTGCTGTAAGTGAT